TATCACATATTCAGCATCGTGGAGCTGTCTGCTCACCATGACGAAAACTTGCACGGCTTACTGCAGGATGGCATTCCCCTCTCCACTGGCCTTGGTTTCATCAACAGTTGCCTCAATCCAATCCTCTACGTTCTGATTAGCAAAAAGTTCCAGGCCCAGGTGAAGACAACAGTCTCAGAGGTGTTAAAATTGGCCCTGTGGGAGGTGAGCCGCTCGGGAACTGTCAGCGAGCAGCTGTGGAGCTCGGACAACACCCATGCACCTGTGCACTGTTGTGAAACTGCTCAGTGACTGTTCTTGTCACCATCCCTCTCCAAGACAGCTGACAGGAGATTTGGAGGTGCTCTTGACTACACGTCTGCCACTCAGATGTGCATCTTTGAGTATACAATTTTATGTAAACAGCTGCCTTAATTGCACTTGCTGCTTTCCCTGAAAGGTTTTTAAAAGGACACGTTACTTGGGTGTGCTGCCCTTGCAACGCACGCACAGCCTGGACTGAAACTAGTTAGCATAAGTGGAATTGCTCTGGTTTGGTTTATTTTTTTGATCAGGAATGTTGTAATTCTGTTGTTTCAGTGTGCTTCCATACCTCACTGATATCAGAAGAGCACATAAAAATATTCTTCCTTGCCATCACTGATAGCACTCTTGATTGAGGAATTCTAGTACAAGAGCCCATGGCCATATGTCAATGGGTCATGAGTCCCTTGGTTGTTCAGTATTGCCTTCAGTGGGCATCATCTGGCTACATCCCAGCTAAGTGAAGCTTTTGGTGGTTCAACTCTGCAGCTGGAGAAGAATCCCAAGACAGAGAACACTCGGTCACTGCTTTCTCTTGTCAAAACCCAAAAATATGGTCATAAAGTCTGCTTTTTCCTAGTGTTCTTTATCTTACACTAAAAACTAAGACAGGAGAACCTGTGTTTTCTCATCATTTATTCTTATGCTTTTAGCACCAGTTGGATGCAAAATACTGAGCTGAGTTTTCATATTAAGTATTAGGTTCATTTGAAATGTGTAAAGAATTAGAGAAAATGTTTCTTAGAGAAGCTGAGATTAAAGGCTCCCTACCACATTTTTTCTTTTTCTGTGCTTGACCTTTCAGGCTCAGAGGTTACAGCCATGGGTCGCTTTTTATTGCACTGTCAAAGAAAGCTAAAGAAATAACATAACACTTTGTTTGGCTTAATAACAATCTTTAAAAAATGAGCAGGGCCAATTCAACAGTATTCTGTTGTAAGTCTTTAGCCAAATTTGGACTTCTTTGCTAAATGAGGGACAAGACAGGATATCCAGGAAATGAAGTCCTTTGCCCTAAGAAAGATGCAGTTATGCTATGTTCTCTCCCACCTCATTGCTTGCTGTAGCGTATATATTTGCATTGGTGCATATATGATTCTAAGTGGAGCAGACCAATATCTGATGCAATATGACTTAATTAAAAAGTCAAATGTGGGATAAAACTCCACTAAAGTAAAAGCATGAAGCTTTGGATAAATTCGAACTGTTTTTTACCTTGTTATTGGCCTGGGTATATAGAATAAAACTACCTTTCAGATAATCTACTTAGTTTCTATGGCCTGCCATTACACATAAGTAGGATTTATACTGTAATTGAGGCCTTGCATGTAAATATATTTGCTTTTGTATTTTTTTTAATATATATGCATGCAAGAGCACATCCACTATTGGTAGCTGTACAAACAGAAAATCTGACTGTGGTCTGTAACTGTTTTTTTAGGCTCTGGTTTCAGAGTTTGGAAGAGTCAGGCAGGATCAGTGGAATTTCAATGTATTTCACTTTGGACTGGAAACCTGGTAAGCAGTACTCTTCCTCTGAGACATTTGCTGCCTGGTACATAGTGACACATCATAATATTTTGGCACCGTGCTACTGAATATGCCTAAATCAAACATTCCGCAGTTTTTCTTCACATGTTCCCTGACATCTTTCTAAGAATAATCATAGAGTCATAGAATGGCCTAGGCTGGAAGGGACCTTAGATGCCTCTCAACTAGATCAGGCAACACATGGGGACCCAACGGGAATGTATTAGTACTACTCTCCTGACTGTACTCCAAGTGAAGTAATAAAACTAACTTGTTGTTTCCAAAGTGTGTGTTCATTGGCCTTTCTCAGCAGCAATATGCAGTGACTGCCCGTTCTAAGAACAGCTCTTTCCTAAAGGTTTTGGAAGATGAAAGCAATCCCTGACTCTTTCTGCTACAGGAGTTAAGGTTTATGTCAGCTTTCTTCTTGTATGTCAGCTATGCGAGCACACATATTGCTATGTATAGTAAAGATACTGAATGTTCAAATGGGGGGAATATACATATAGTGTCTTGCATAAATTATCAGAAAGCCTCCCCTGAAGTAGACAGCAGAGACAGAGAATGAAATTCAATGAGGCCAAGGACAGCTCTGGTCTATGGAATTAAGTGGATTAACAACTTTGTAATGTAACTACTACCACATTCACACCAAGATCAGTTACAGGATTCTCTCCAAATCAGATACCTAAACAAAGCAGATAATGCTCAAAAACTTCCTGTTTCCAAAGAATATCCAAAACAATACCAGCAGTTCTATGCTGCTTGGACTGAGGAATGCTCATTCAACTCACCACAATGGAAGAAAAGCCAGATGAAGGGGATCCATTTTATCATGCTATAAAGATACTGCAGAAAAACACTTCATAGGAAATAGCTCTGTGATTTACCGTTCATTCAAGAATAATAGCTATTGACACGTTTCATAATAGACAGGTTCTGGTTACTTTAGTCTTCTCTGCTTCGGGAACAGTTTGTATCTGAAGCTTGTTACATTGTAGCCAATACTTCTGTTGAAAATGTTTTCCCAGTATTCCTGTGTATTACATTCTTCAGTTATGGAACTGCTGATCTTTCTGTTACAGAAACTTGGGACAGAAGTGTCCTGTTTACTCAAAGATGCTAATTTTTCACAGGCACAATGACACAATAACATACCTCCACACACCCAAACGCCACACAAAACCCCTGAACACAAATGCACGTGGATTCTGTGGAATTCTCTTACGCAGATGAGTGTCTATTTTGTAACTGTGGAGACTGTGCTCTCTACCTCTTGGTCCTATGCAGCAAGTTCCCTTCTAACATCAAGGTAAAAGAAATCCCCACAGAAGAGTCTGTACATGCACGCTTGGCATAAATGAAACACACACACAAAAACCCAGTCTGGTAGGTCAGATGGCTCATGCTGCTGTATTTTAGCCAAGTTACGGTCTATAAAGCAAAGCATTTTATTCACTTAGAGATTTAATTTCGAGGTCAAAGGAAGAATTTAAAGGTAAGAAGCACATTAAATGGGAGATCAGAAGCAGTGATGGCCAAGGATATTAAGAATTACTTTTTTTTGACAGAATTTTTATTATTTATTTTTTTCTGTGGCATTTGGTAATGTTTTGCTTTTAACAGCACCATCATAGAATTGCTAAAACTAAGCTACATGAATTTGCAGAAACAACAGCTAGAGAATTACCACAGAAAGGGTACTGTGTGTTATATACAGGATGACACTACTCCTTTAGGAGTTAAGTTTATGGAAGGTGGGAATGAAGCCTGTAACTATACTTACTTTCAATTCTTTTATGAAAGCTTTAGACCTCTCACAGCTAGTTTTTTTTTTCCTGACTCAAGTTATAAAACAAAGCTCTTACATAATCTGAAGTTGGCAGACCTTTAAACAAAGAGAACAGGACCTGCTGTGACAGATAATCACACACATGCCCTGTGAAAAAAAGAACAAAAAGTTATTTTAGCTGCTGTTGTCAGGCTTTGGCACCGAGCATCTTCATCTTGGTGACCAACATGGAATGTAAAAAGCTTCCATTTCACTATCACAATAAATTCTCTATCTCGGTCCAACAGAAGGCCTAGAAACACAAATTTATCCAGAAGATTCACAACTTTGACAGCTTTTACATTTTTATGATTATGGATAGTTTTTGGAAAACAATTTAATCCTGATCGGTTCTCCAGTCTTTAAAAAAGCCCATCAAAATCAACCTGGAGCCAAGCAAGCAACTCAGACTGGCATTAACCATGCTACTTTATCTTTACATTTCAATTGAACACCTGTTTGACTGTTGTTTTTAGCTTGGAGCACGCTCCAAGTTTCATGTATAAATTATCCATGGACATTAGCTCTAGCTTGTGGTCCCTCCACCCAGGTAAGCCCTACCCTACGATGCCGGGCGGGGAGTGGATCAGGCAGCCGGTGTCCCGGTCCCTGCTGCCCCCTGGTGCCTTTCTTTGCCTGCACGGCGCTTCTGGGCACCGCTCCACCCGGGCTGGTTAGCGGAAGGAGCTTTTATCAGCACCAGTGTGTTTTATCAATCGCCAAACGATGCGAAATTTAAAGTAATTCCACTGCAAATGTTTTCACATCTGGGAGAAAGAGAGCCCCCAAGTCCGCACAACAGGAGAGATGGTGCCACGGTAGCCTCAAGGCTGATAAAAATCTTGTCTCACTGCACCCTGGCACCTCTGGAACTGCACCACAGCTCCTTCTGGCTTACCTTCATCTTCCCCTCCTCACACACACACCCCGCTGAAGCTTCAGCTTTTGACAAAAGCCATGATGTATTCCTTTAGTCAACACCTTTACTAAACAGAATTCATACTACTCTTTATCTGCCAAAAAAACATATTTGCACTTTGCCTGAGCCCTGTGCTTTTTCCCTGACAGCCATCCTTCCCTTCCAGAGGAATCATGGAAACTTCCAAAGATGAAGCTTCCTCCCAAAAATAGAGCAATGAGCATTTCAGATTTTTAAAGCCATGTTAAAATCTGGAGCGATGGTAAATTTTCTACTTTCTCTGCTCATGCTCTTGGGCACTACCATGGGGTCATGGAGCAACTCTGAAACTCAGTTCTAGCTTCTATTTTAGCCATCAACCAAATTGTACGAGTTGGATTACACCACGATTTTGAATTAACCACAGACATAGGCCAATTTTTGCAATTACGTTTATTCTAGATATATCAAGACTTAAATCTTATTGAAAGCAGCTACATCCATTGATTGTACATAATCTTCAAAAGCTGTTATTCTCTCTTCCAGCATATCTGTTCCAACTTTATCATCTTCAACAACACACTGGATCTGAAGCTTTTTGATACCGTAGCCAACTGGTACTAGCTTGGCTGCAAAAAAACCACAAACAGCCAACATTTTAGTACTCCTTGGTTGGTGGAATCGCTTAAAAATGGAGATCTAAGATTGAACCGACCAAAGCAGTTTGCAGAAATACATTAAAAAAAAATATAAACACATTGTTTCCTATTATAGACTGCTTAATCAACAAAGCATGCATTACAGAATGGTCAAATAAAGGGTTTGTTTTTGTAGAGTCCCCCAACCAAACCAGTGATGTGGGTGTATGGGCAACACTCTGCATCAGGAACTGTACAGGGAGATGCAGGATAGCAGAGTCACAGTTTGAAAGATTTTTAAAACCTACATTTGAATCTTAACCTGGCCACTACACCAATACACCTTTTTGAGCACATCTAGATACTGAAGTACTGCAGTGTTGCAACTCCCACCCAGTTTTTGGCTACCCACATCTTCACAGACCAGCAAACAGCGACCAAATGTTGAACTATTCATACACTACCTTAAGAGACCAAACTACCTCCCTCTCCCAGCTTTGAAATTTTCTCCTACTTACAAGATCCCCAGACCAAGCCATCTGCTTGAATGCTTCGAACACACTCCTCTAGTTTGGCCATATCTGTCTCATCATCCCAAGGTTTCACATCAAGCAAGAGTGATGATTTGGCAACAACAGCTGGTTCTGGGGGAAGAAACTCACCATTAAAAGCTAGGAATTTTTCAAGAACTCATTAATATATTTGCAAACTAGCTTCACAAGAATACCATAAGACATGCATATTCCAAATGTTCCAAGATGCAAATCCATATGTTCTTGAGAAATAGTCTCCTAAAAATACATAGATTAAGCAGGTAACTTTGTTTGTTACATAGGAATTCCTTTTCAGAGCACCTGAGAAGGAACTTAACACACCATATAACAGTTTATTTTCCACAGAGGGAATACTGGAACTGCTACAGTTCTGAGCACTTCCAGACCAGTAACTGTGGAAGAAATTGCATATTGCAGCCTCTTCTCTAAAGTCTCAGAGGTTTCTCTATTTAAAAAGTTCAGCTTCTGAGCAAGAGAATAACTGCTTATTAAGGACAAAACCTATGTTAAGGTTCCCATTTGCTACAGGAAAAATCTAAGCTCACAGGCAAGTCAAGTGAAGCCAGCGACTCCTGTCTCATTCCCAGTCGAGTTTATCTATATATGATTAAGAGTTTCCAGCCATCCTGTTCAAATGCATGAAAATTAACCTAAGCATAAATCCAAGTTCTCGGCAGACCTACTTTTGGACTTCTTTGATTCATACTGGGCCAAAAAGTTTCTTTGCTTCTTCACTTTCCTGAAAGAGAAATCCAGAGCTACAGAAAAGCACCAAAATCGCACACCTTTAAAGCATTACCACACTGACTGGCATCTACTCAGGCAAAAACAAATCATCACAACTGTCAGCCGAAAGATGGTGATTTTTTTTGTTTTATTCATCATGTAAGCCAGTCAAAGTAGACAGTTCCCTGCATTGCAAGACATCTCTTTCTAATGAGCTTTTACTTTCTGAGCTTTTCTGTTCTGCAAAGACAGCTGAATTTGAGAATTCCAAGTGGGATATGGAATCAAGGTAAAAAACCCCTCAAACTAGTTAAAGGCAAAAATCTGCACACCTCTGTATTTCAGAAAAATACCAAAAAATCACCAGTACCTCTTCATCATCAGATCCAAAGAGATCAATGTCATCATCATCTTTGCTATCTGTGGCAGCACCTGTCGTGTCCTCAACATCAGCAGGACCGTATTTCGACAACGCCTTCTTTACTCCTGGCAAGCTGAAAGAAAATAGTATGTATTAGGGATCTACTCAAATGCCAACACAAACACTGCCAATTTGTCAACAACCCAACAAATGCATTTCTAATGAAAATGCTGTCCTACAAATAAAACCAAAACACCTATCTAACTCTGCTACTTGAAAACAGAACCTCCCAAAGACAAATCCCAGTGCTCCTGACATACTAGTTAAGACTATAGCAAATCCCATATTCCAAGTTTGTTCCCCTAAGCTGACGTAATCCTGCCCAGCGCTGCCACGGGTATATGGGTAGAAAATGCTTTCTTACTGGAATCATTTACCTCCATTACAATCTGTGTAGGAAGAGTTACCAACTTCTTGTTCATGCTTCCCTAAAACCATTTTCATTTGTTTTGAAACTAATGGTGACAGAAAATACATTGTAACTGATAGCATGAGCTTGGAGGCATCAGCGAGTGTTTAACTCTGAAAGTTAGCTCTCGACAGCACACAACAGCCCAGAGCCCCTGAATTAATTATCTTATAGCTCATATAGTTCTGTAGTCTTACAATAAGCTCAGAGTGCTATTGTCACTGTGAACTATTGTTACTGGAGTCATAAAACTAGCTTTAGTTCTCAGGAACAAGTAGTAGTTGCCAGAGTGGACTTCATGAAGCCACTTTATAATCTCAGTCTCCTTCAGCATTTTAAGGGGCTTTGGAAACAGACTGGTGACTGAGCCACCCAACTTTACAACAGTTCCCTCCAAACAGGACTGAGGCACATAGAGGAGGCAGTGTAGGAATACTGACACTACCTATGCTGTACCTTTTTAGAGAGGCCTGCAGTCTCCATGGATGTCAATACAGCACCTTTCATGAACACTAAAATCACTAAAAAAGAAAAAAGATGACATTTGCTTTCATATTTCCCCTTCTTTATACGTGCTTCTGCATTGCAAATTATTGATTTTATCTTCCAGGACTAAAAATCTGAATGAATCACCTTCCTCACTTATCAAGTATGTACTGCATATTTCTCTTTCAAGACTCCTGTAACGCTTTCTAAACCACTTTGGTGTTGCCTTTAAGGGGTTGATTACTGGCAAGTAACTCCCAGCTTTCAGCAGTTATCTGTGTACATGTCAGCAAAATACCAAGCAGCAACGTCAGCAACTCAGCAGAGAAGAATAAGGTTGCCTAAATTCTATGCAAGAAGTGTAATGTACTGATGGAGGAGGTGTGCTCTGCTTCTGGAGTTGTTCCTGTTCCACGGGCAATGCAAAATGCCACATGGTACCATTGAAAAATCACTTTTTGTTTAACTCGAAGAAACAAGTGCAATACCCTGTAGGCAACTTCGCATATATATTCCAGCTTCGCAGTTTAACCATACCTTGCCTTCTGCTTTTCATACGACTTAATATGATTGTACCAGCGAAGAGCATGGAACAATTCTGCAGGAGGTGGGGCAGCGATTGCTTCAAAGACTGCTATATCAGCCTGAGAAGGGACGTACCTGCGGAGAACAAGCCCAAGTTAGACACCCTTCCTCCGTCCGCGCATTAAGGACACGAAACAGCAGGCGCTGAGCACACAGGCCGCCACGCTGCTGCCAGGCCCAGC